GGATGTCCACCTCGACTGGGTCAAGCAGCGTGAGGAGGAGAGAGGTTGGACTTGGGAGCAGAGGATGGAGAGTCTGGCGAGAGCCATGGAGGCCATATCCACAGGTGAGAGACAAGCCCAAAAAAAATTTAGGGGCGGGCTCACACCGTGGACGACGGCGCTGCTGGAGGCAGATAAGGGGCGAGTTAGTGGACGAGGAGAGAAGGCCACCGGGTTATGGGAGCCATTGGCGAGTAGAGGGAAGGAAAATGTAGAGCCACGGCGAGAGGTACTGAGGTGTGTTGCCAGTCCGGCCCGTTCCTGATCCCCGGGTAAGGCCAGTGGCGTGTGTTCCCAGTGTGGTCCGGCCTGTTCCTGTCCCTCGCACCAAGCCTGTGATGCGCGTCGCCAGCCCGGTCCGGCCTGTTCCTGCCTCTCGCACCAAGCCTATGGTGCGCGTCGCCAGCCCGGCCCGGCCTGTTCCTGCTCTCCGCACCAAGCCTATGGTGCGCGTTGCCAGCCCGGCCCGGCCTGTTCCTGCTCCCCGCACCAAGCCAATGGTGCGCGTCGCCAGCCCGGCCCGGCCTGTTCCTGCTCCCCGCACCAAGCCAATGATGCGCGTCGCCAGCCCGGCCCGGCCTGTTCCTGCTCCCCGCACCAAGCCTATGGTGCGCTTCGTCAGCCCGGTCTGGCCCATTTCTGCTCCCCGCACCAAGCCAGGGGTGCGCGTCGTCAGCCTGGTCCGGCCCGTTTCTGCTCCCCGCACCAAGCCTGTGGTGCGCTTCGTCAGCCCGGTTCGGCCCGTCCCTGCTCCCCGCACCAAGCCGGTGGTGCGCGTCGTCAGCCCGGTCCGGCCCGTTCCTGCTCCCCGCACCAAGCCTGTGGTGCGCGTCGTCAGTCCGGCACAGCCCGTGCCTGGGTCACCGGTGCCTGGTCAGGTACCGGTCAGCTGCTCCACATCGGAGCCTAAGCAAACCGCTCCACCGATGTCCAGTCCAGCTCCAGCCAGCGGGACCAGACCGGACCAGGGGAGCTACGGGGGGATTGTTGGAGGGTGGTGGTCAAGCCCGGAGCCGGAACCGCCTCCGAGGAGGAATGCCCACCCCCCCCTCCTGTTCGGTTTATGTTTGGCGCGGTCGCGCGCCTTTGGGGGGGGGGGTACTGTCACGCCCTGGCTCTGGGACTCTGTTATGTTGAGCCAGGGTGTGTAGTTTCTATGTGTTTGTGTTCTAGGTTCTTTATCTAGCTCATGTGTTTCTGTGTTGGCCAGGGTGGTTCTCAATCAGAGGCAACGAGTGTCAGCTGTTGCTTGTTGTCTCTGATTGGGAACCATACTTAGGCAGCCTGTTTTCCACAGTGTATTGTGGGATCTTGTTCCGTGTTGGTTTGTGTTGTAAACCGAGGACGTCACGTATCAATCAATCAATCAATTTTATTTTATATAGCCCTTCTTACATCAGCTAATATCTCGAAGTGCTGTACAGAAACCCAGCCTAAAACCCCAAACAATGATTTATTGTACATCTAATAAATCATGTACGCTTATCACGCTGCACCTTGGTCCACTCCTTTCAACGATCGTGACACTTATCATCCAAAGGGAATGTATGCAGCCGGCTATACACGCGTATCCATAGTCACGGGAAGTAGAGGTGCTTAGGGGGTTGCAGCAAAAAATCAGAAAAAAATTAATAATAATAATAGTGGACTGATATAGCCATCTGCAGTGCCATTAGATCGAGTTAAGGACAAAATCCTTAACAGTGATGAAGTGATAAAAATGAGTGGCTCTTAGAAAATGTTACCGTTTGTTTTTTCTCAAAAATAGCTGATTGTAGCATAGTATGCATAAAAAAAAAGTCTGACGTATTCAAAAATGTAGCAATGATCACTTTTTCAATTTTCACCAACTGCAACTGGAAAACAGGTCCCAGCAAAACAATGACTCATACAACATATTCATGACTGAGATGGGGCCATACTATGGACTATGTTGGGATGGCAAGGCAATTGGATATTGTTGTCAGGGGTGGTGCTTGTAGATGACTGAAATTGACTACTTATCTCAGTGCATCTATGAATGAGACTGCTTTATTGAAAGAGTCACCATGACCACTCCACTACTGATATTTGGTATGTGAGCATCCCTATCTAACTCTGAACATTTGCTAGAATTTGTCAGTACAATCTCTGGACTTCCTTTCCTTAACATTTGTTTGTTTCATTTGTGCAGTTCTTCTGACTCTACCCTGCTACAGTGCACATGGTAAGTAGAAAGCACTATCATCTGTTGCATCTGTTTGTATGAAAAATGGGGCCAGCTGTTGAGAGGTGTGGGGCTGTGTGGGCTACTTCTCTGCCTCTCAGATTGATGTGTGTACAGTATAGAGCAGAGATAGTGTTGTAATGTGGGCTCCAATTTGATTACGGTAAGCCACAGAATAATTAATTGTGAATTATAGCTCTGTGGTTTGGACCTGAGCGTTTATGCATCATGTACCGTACTTTCCTGAAAGGAATCCTGAAGAAAAAAAAATGTCAACTGGGAATGAAGTGGATCAGGTTGGTTTAGAATCCCAAACAGAATTCTGCTGGTATAGAGATATCTGGAATATAGATGATAAGTCAGTGAAATTAGTTGTCATCATTACTCTAAACAGTATAGACCGAGAGACTGAAAAACTGCTACTATCTCAAGGCCATCAGACTGTTAAATAGCCTTCACTAGCACATTAGAGGCTGCTGCCTATATACATAGATTAGAAATCACTGGCCACTTTAATAAATGGAACACTAGTCACTTTAATAATGTTCACATATCTTGCATTACTCATCTCATATGTATATACTGTATTCTATACTATTCTACTGTATCTTAGTCTATGCCGCTCTGACATTGCTCGTCCATATATTTATTTATATATTCTTAATTCCATTGCTTTACTTAGATTTGTGTGTATTGGGTATATGTTGTGATATTGTTAGATATTACTTGTTAGATATTACTGCACTGTCGGAGCTAGAAACACAAGCATTTTGCTACACCCGCACTAACATCTGCTAAACACGTGTATGTGACCAATAAAATTTGATTTGATTTATAGCCTAGGGCATACTACTGTCTGTGTGGTTTATAGAGCTATGGGTATATTACTTCTATGGAGCTGCAGATAACTTTAGGGAGCGCTAACTGCAGCCATAGATACCGTTGTTTCCTGACAATACCTTACTCCGTTTTATTCCCATAATCTTTATGATAAACAATAAAAATTAGCCATAAACTTCAGTCACTGATAGGCAGTTGTAAAATGCGATTTTAAAACAATAAATTATTAATTGCAGAACTTTTTTTTTCATAGTGAGCTTTTTACAAATATCACACTTTGAATAATAGCATTCCTCATGGCCTGAGATAGAGCTTTCCACAGAATATGTAGCCAGGACATTGTCTTGATGTGGGGATGTTCCATGATTCACAGGGAAGGTCAATCCTTTTGGAATTCCAGTCTCTGCCCATGTTGGGAAGTTCTACGGCACGTGAGTATAGCAAGTACCCTTATTTTCTGTGCTCTGAGTAGAAGCTGCCCTTGGGCACAGATCTTTACTGGGGATACATAAAATTAACCTTAGATCAGTGTTTAGGGGCAACTTCATCCTACTACCTTTAATTAAGATGTGTCATCATGATGTGACTGTATGTGTGAGCATTGGGACTCCACTATACAGTGGGGAAAAAAAGTATTTAGTCAGCCACCAATTGTGCAAGTTCTCCCACTTAAAAAGATGAGAGAGGCCTGTAATTTTCATCATAGGTACACGTCAACTATGACAGACAAAATGAGAATTTTTTTCCCAGAAAATCACTTTGTAGGATTTTTAATGAATTTATTTGCAAATTATGGTGGAAAATAAGTATTTGGTCACCTACAAACAAGCAAGATTTCTGGCTCTCACAGACCTGTAACTTCTTATTTAAGAGGCTCCTCTGTCCTCCACTCGTTACCTGTTTTAATGGCACCTGTTTGAACTTGTTATCAGTATAAACGACACCTGTCCACAATCTCAAACAGTCACACTCCAAACTCCACTATGACCAAGACCAAAGAGCTGTCAAAGGACACCAGAAACAAAATTGTAGACCTGCACCAGGCTGGGAAGACTGAATCTGCAATAGGTAAGCAGCTTGGTTTGAAGAAATCAACTGTGGGAGCAATTATTAGGAAATGGAAGACATACAAGACCACTGATAATCTCCCTCGATCTGGGGCTCCACGCAAGATCTCACCCCGTGGGGTCAAAATGATCACAAGAACGGTGAGCAAAAATCCCAGAACCACACGGGGGGACCTAGTGAATGACCTGCAGAGAGCTGGGACCAAAGTAACAAAGCCTACCATCAATAACACACTACGCCGCCAGGGACTCAAATCCTGCAGTGCCAGACGTGTCCCCTTGCTTAAGCCAGTACATGTCCAGGCCCGTCTGAAGTTTGCTAGAGTGCATTTGGATGATCCAGAAGAGGATTGGGAGAATGTCATATGGTCAGATGAAACCAAAATATAACTTTTTGGTAAAAACTCAACTCGTCGTGTTTGGAGGACAAAGAATGCCTAGTTGCATCCAAAGAACACCATACCTACTGTGAAGCATGGGGGTGGAAACATCATGCTTTGGGGCTGTTTTTCTGCAAAGGGACCAGGACGACTGATCCGTGTAAAGGAAAGAATGAATGGGGCCATGTATCGTGAGATTTTAAGTATTGAGAAACTTTTGTTATTGACCAAATACTTATTTTCAACCATAATTTGCAAATAAATTCATTAAAAATCCTACAATGTGATTTTGAAGTGTACCTATGATGAAAATTACAGGCCTCTCTCATCTTTTTAAGTGGGAGAACTTGCACAATTGGTGGCTGACTAAATACTTTTTTCCCCCACTGTATATACGTCTAGTATATGTGCTGCACATAGATATAGATAATGCCCTCTAGACATTAAGATGAGCCTCTGCCTTTCAGGTCTCCCAGAGATCCAATCTGCAGCGGGCTGAATTATGACGTTCTAGATTTCACATGCTGTGAAGGAATACGTCATAAAGGGACGGGGCAGTCCTGCTGTGGAAACAAGGCCTTTATCCTGACCCAGGCTTCCTGTTGTGAAGGTGAGCTAGACGGAGTCATGTCTCCTAGCAGTATCCCACAAAATATATTCACTTAAACCTGGTAACTGGGTTGAAATCATTATTTTCTCAGGACAAGCTAAGTTTGAATTGATATGCTGTGTGTGTGTTTATCTGTGACTCAACCATTGCAGGCCAGCTGACACTGAATGTGAGCCAGTTGGTATCAGATTGCTGTGGGTGGAGGGCCTATGACCCACTCAACCAGTTATGCTGTGACACACGGATCCTAATCAGGACCCAACCCCATGACAAGTGTTGTGGAAAAGGTCAGTGAGATCAGGTCAATTTACATCTTTGCTGTCGTCATTGTTGATGGAATTGAGTTTTTTTAATTCATAAAAAGGCATAAAAAGAGGTGGTGTTGTAGTGTGCATTTTAGGCTTTTCTCTCAAACGGTCTTTCCCATAGAGGTCTGTCTATTTCAAAAGCTGTTTGGGAGTCCCTGTGACATCTCCCACCTGCCCCTCACGGCTTCTATGCTCACTCGACCCTTCACAATGTCAAGCTTGTAAAATAAAAAAATATATGCACTCACTAACTGTAAGTCGCTCTGGATAAGAGCATCTGCTAAATGACTAAAATGTAAATGTAATAATGTAACACTTGAGCACTTGAAAGCACTTCAGTGCTTTAAACAGTAAATCTGATCAATTGTTATTACTTGTCCTACAGAGCTTTACAATGAAGACAACCAGCTATGCTGTGGAAATGTCGTTAAAGGAAGGGTCCTGACCAAAATGTCCAGTCAACACCTGTGCTGTGGAGACCACCAGTTTGACCGGCAAAGCCACTGCTGCTGCTTCGATTCTGAACGACTATCCCCAAAGCCTCTCAATGCAAGCTGCTGTGCATCATCAGGGTTTAATGTTAGTAAAAGGCAACCTACTAGTTTTGAATGGTTGTATTGAAACTTCACATTATGATAGTTTGTCATCTTTGTGTGTATTTTGTTTCTTTATTTCAGCACAGGGTAATTACTCAGAGTTCACCAAACTGGTAAGGTTGCCTTTTGCCTTCAACCATATACTGAACCTCATAACGTCGCACTTTCTATATTCAATGTTCAATTCAACCATTTCATTAACAGTCAGGTTTAAAAATATTCGATAAAAGCCACAATGGGGCATTCATTTTAAATGATACAATATAATACAAAATTAAAAAACACCTACTATGTCAGCTTTCCTGAATGTTCTTTAATAGATTTCAAAGAGTAGTGGAATAATTAGAAACATGGATTATGTAAAGAAAATCAAAAATAATGTTTTACTCTGCTTTTAACTATGATTGTGTGTGTATTTGTATAGATACAGTTGAAGTCAGAAGTTTACATACACCTTAGCCAAATACATTTAAACTCAGTTTTTCACAATTCCTGACATTTAATCCTAGTAAAAATTCCCTGTTTTAGGTCAGTTAGGATCACCACTTTATTTTAAGAATGTGAAAAGTCAGAATAAAAGTAGAGAGAGAGTGATTTATTTCAGCTTTTATTTCTTTTATCACATTCCTAGTTGGTCAGAAGTTTACATACAGTCAATTAGTATTTGATAGCATTGCCTCTGTAGCTCAGCTGGTAGAGCACGGCGCTTGTAACGCCAAGGTAGTGGGTTCAATCCCCGGGACTACACGTACACAAAAAAAATTATGCACGCATGACTGTAAGTCACTTTGGATAAAAGCGTCTGCTAAATGGCATATTATTATAAATTGTTTAACTTGGGTCGAACGTTTCGGGTAGCCTTCCATAAGCTTCCCACAATAAGTTGGGTGAATTTTGGCCCATTCCTCCTGACAGAGCTGGTGTAACTGAGTCAGATTTGTAGGCCTCCTTGCTCGCACACACTTTTTCAGTTCTGCCCACACATTTTCTATAGGATTGAGGTCAGGGCTTTGTGCTGGCCACTCCAATACCTTGACTTTGTTGTCCTTAAGCCATTTTGCCACAACTTTGGAAGTATGCTTGGGGTCATTGTCCATTTGGAAGACCCATTTGCGACCAAGCTTTAACTTCCTGACTGATGTCTTGAGATGTTGCTTCAATATATCCACATCATTTTACTTCCTCATGATGCCATCTTTTTTGTGAAGTGCACCAGTCCCTCCTGCAGCAAAACACCCTAACAGCATGATGCTGCCACCCCCGTGCTTCACGGTTGGGATGGTGTTCTTTGGCTTGCAAGCCCCCCCCTTTTCCTCCAAACATAACGATGGTCATTATGGCCAAACAGTTATATTTTTGTTTCATCAGACCAGAGGACGTTTCTCCAAAAAGTAAGATCTTTGTCCCCATGTGCAGTTGCAAACTGTAATCTGGCTTTTTTATGGCGGTTTTGGAGCAGAGGCTTCTTCCTTGCTGAGCGGCCTTTCAGGTTATGTCGATATAGGACTCGTTTTACTGTGGATATAGATACTTTTGTACCTATTTCCTCCAGCATCTTCACAAGGTCCTTTGCTGTTGTTCTGCGATTGATTTGCACTTTTCGCACCAAAGTACATTCATCTCTAGGAGACAGAATGCGTATCCTTTCTGAGCGGTATGACGGCTGCGTGGTCCCATGGTGTTTATACAGTGAGGGAAAAAAGTATTTGATCCCCTGCTGATTTTGTACGTTTGCCCACTGACAAAGACATGATCAGTCTATCATTTTAATGGTAGGTTTAATTGAACAGTGAGAGACAGAATAACAACAAAATAATCCAGAAAAAAACGGATTTCAAAAATGTTCTTTTTAATGAGGGAAATAAGTATTTGACCCCTCTGCAAAACACAAAACTTAGTACTTGGTGGCAAAACCCTTGTTGGCAATCACAGAGGTCAGATGTTTCTTGTAGTTGGCCACCAGGTTTGCACACATCTCAGGAGGGATTTTGTCCCACTCCTCTTTGCAGATCTTCTCCAAGTCATTAAGGTTTCGAGGCTGACGTTTGGCAACTCGAACCTTCAGCTCCCTCCACAGATTTTCTATGGGATTAAGGTCTGGAGACTGGCTAGGCCACTCCAGGACCTTAATGTGCTTCTTCTTGAGCCACTCCTTTGTTGCCTTGGCCGTGTGTTTTGGGTCATTGTCATGCTGGAATACCCATCCACGACTCATTTTCAATGCCCTGGCTGAGGGAAGGAGGTTCTCACTCAAGATTTGACGGAACATGGCCCCGTCCAAGTTGTCCTGTCCCCTTAGCAGAAAAACACCCCCAAAGCATAATGTTTCCACCTCCATGTTTGACGGTGGGTATGGTGTTCTTGGGGTCATAGGCAGCATTCCTCCTCCTCCAAACACGGCGAGTTGAGTTGATGCCAAAGAGCTCCATTTTGGTCTCATCTGACCACATCACTTTCACCCAGTTCTCCTCTGAATCATTCAGATGTTCATTGGCAAACATCAGACGGGCATGTATATGTGCTTTCTTGAGCAGGGGGACCTTGCGGGCGCTGCAGGATTTCGGTCCTTCACGGCGTAGTGTGTTACCAATTGTTTTCTTGGTGACTATGCTCCCAGCTGCCTTGAGATCATTGACAAGATCCTCCTGTGTAGTTCTGGGCTGATTCCTCACTGTTCTCATGATCATTGCAACTCCACGAAGTGGCCCCAGGCCGAGGGAGATTTATAATTATTTTGTGTTTCTTCCATTTGCGAATAATCGCACCAACTGTTGTCACCTTCTCACCAAGCTGCTTGGCGATGGTCTTGTAGCCCATTCCAGCCTTGTGTAGGTCTACAATCTTGTCCCTGACATCCTTGGAGAGCTCTTTGGTCTTGGCCATGGTGGAGAGTTTGGAATCTGATTGATTGCTTCTGTGGACAGGTGTCTTTTATATAGGTAAAAAGCTGAGATTAGGAGCACATTATTTAAGAGTGTGCTCCTAATCTCAACTCATTACCTGTATAAAAAGACACCTGGGAGCCAGAAATCTTTCTGATTGAGAGGGGGTCAAATACTTATTTCCCTCATTAAAATGCAAATCAATGTATAACATTTTTGACATGCGTTTTTCTGTATTTTGTTGTTGTTATTCTGTCTCTCACTGTTCAAATAAACCTACCATTAAAATTATAGACTGATCATTTCCTTGTCAGTGGGCAAACGTACAAAATCAGTAGGGGATCAAATACTTTTTTCCCTCACTGTACTTGCATACTATTGTTTGTACAGAATGAATATGTTACCTTCAGGCATTTGGAAATTGCTCCCAAGGATGAACCAGACTTTTGGAGGTCTACCATTTATTTTCTGATGTCTTGGCTGATTTATTTAGATTTTCCCATGATGTCAAGCAAAGAGGCGCTGAGTTTGAAGGTAGGCCTTGAAATACATCCACAGGTACACCTCCAATTGACTCAAATTATGTCAATTAGCCTATCAGAAGCTTCTAAAGCCATGACATCATTCTCTGGAATTTTCCAAGCTGTTTAAAGGCACAGTCAACTTAGTGCATGTAAACTTCTGACCCACTGGAATTGTGATACAGTGAATTATAAGTGAAATAATCTGTCTGTAAACAATTGTTGGAAAAATTGTGTCGTGCATAAAGTAGATGTCCTAACCAACTTACCAAACTATAGTTTGTTAACAAGAAATGTGTGGAGTGGTTGAAAAACAAGTTTTAATGATTCCATCCTAAGTGTATGTAAACTTCCGACTTCAACTGTATATACTGTATGTTTATGGTCTGTTTCTGTATGTCTTTATGTGCATGTGTTTGTATTGCATCTAATTGTGTGTGTGTGTGTGTGTTTCCCCACATGCCTCTAGTATGCCTGGGGAGAAGCCCTGTGGTCAAGGTGCCTGTTTTAACCCAACAACAGAGCGTTGCTGTGTGAACCCTACATCTCTCCAGGGGCAGCGTTACTCCCACCACCTGACCTGCTGTAATGGAACACTCAGCCACACCCCAGGTAAGACAGCACAAGGTGTCCTACTAGTGTGTGTGTGTGTGTGGGAGGGAGGGGTTACGAACTGTGGAAAGTTTTTTCCCACTTTCTTGGACTGGGTATTTTTCTTTTTGTGTTCTTTATAAACACACAGACAGAGAAAGCACGTGATGGAGACTTTGGAAATGCATTCAATGAGACTTCCATATATAGTGTGTATATATAGTGTGCACCAATTTGTAAGTCGCTCTGGATAAGAGCGTCTGCTAAATGACTTAAATGTAAATGTGCAAAGCTGTCATTGCAAAGGGTGGCTACTTTGAAGAATCTAAAATATATTTTGATTTGTTTAACACTTTTTTTTGTTACTACATGATTCCATGTGTTATTTCATAGTTGATGTCTTCACTATTATTCTACAATGTAGAAAATAGTAAAAATAAAGAAAAGCCCTTGAATGAGTAGGTGTGTCCAAACTTGACTGGTACTCAAATCAAATCAAATTGTATTTGTCACATGCGCCAAATACAACAGTAGACCTTACAGTGAAATGCTTACTTACAAGCCCTTAACCAACAATGCAGTTAAGAAAAACAAGTGTTAAGTAAACAATAGATAAGTAGAAAATTAAAGCAGTAAAATAACAGTAAAAATAACAGTAGCACGGCTGTATACAGGGGGTACCGGTACAGAGTCAATGTGCAGGGGCTCCGGTTAGGCGAGGGAATATGTACATGTAGGTATAGTTAAAGTGACTATGCATAGATAATAAATAAAGAGTGGCAGCAGCTTAAAAGAGGGGGTGGGGGGGGGGACAATGCAAATAGTCCGGGTAGCCATTTGAGTAGCTGTTCAGGAGTCTTATGGCTTGGGGGTAGAAGCTGTTAAGAAGCCTTTTGGACCTAGACTTGGTGCTCCGGTACCGCTTGCCATGCGGTAGCAGAGAGAACAGTCTATGACTAGGGTGGCTGGAGTCTTTTACAATATTTAGGGCCTAACCTCTGACACCGCCTGGTATAGAGGTCCTGGATGGCAGGAAGCTTGGCCCCAGTGATGTACTGGGCCGTACGCACTACCCTCTGTAGTGCCTTGCGGTCGGAGGTCGAGCAGTTGCCATAC